TACTTAGAGTGGATGCCCCTCCAGGACATTGTAAACTGCAGTCTTACAGATCGCAGCCCAACTCGTAACCATTATGCCACCAGTAGCAATTATACTGGATTTCCACTAATGATTGCTATATTTAAATTAACTTAGTTAACATATTTCATGATTTAACTTATAAAACAAATCTATTAGTCCATCTTTATAGAGCCCATGCTTTAAACTGTTTTGCCTTTTTAAGAATTTAATATTTTATAAATAAAAATCATTTTTAGCCATAATCTGTTTCATGTGTACCAGGCACAAGACTATGCCATATAATACTTACAAAATTCTATGGCATTAGTAAAATTATTATCCCCATTTTCAGAGATGGAGAAACCAGACAAATATTTTTTGTCATTTTCTCTAGATCATGCACTTAGTAGATAGTGATGAGACTACATTGGAAATTAAGCTCTGTATCTGCAGAAGTTCAATTTGTCTGTTTTAAGCACAGTGCTAGTTATTGGGTGGAGGGATATAATTGCTACTGAAACATCACCCAGAACTTATGGTTTAGTGAAGGGAAAGAAAGTAAACTTCAATCTAAAATATCTCATTATAAATATATTTTGAAATCATTTTATTGGGGCTCATACAACTCTTATCACAATCCTTCCATCCATCCATTGTGTCAAGCACATTTGTACATTTGTTGCCATCATTATTTTCAAAATATTTTCTTTCTACTTGTGCCCTTGGTATTAGCTTCTCATGTTTTTCCCCTCCTTCCCCCACTCTCCCTCCCTCATGAAGCCTTGATAATTTATAAATTATTTGTTCATGTCTTACACTGACCCATGTCTCCATTCACCCTCTTTCTGTTGTCCACCCCTCTGGGAGAGGGTTATATGTTGATCATTGTAATTGGTTCCCCTTCCACCGCCCCCCCCCCCCCCCCCCCCCCCGACCTTCCGCTTACCTTCCTGGCATGGCTACTCTCAATATTGGTCCTGAGGGGTTTATCTGTCCTGGATTCCTGTGTTTCCAGCTCTTATTTGTACACATGTACATGCTCTGGTATAGCAAGATTTGTAAGGTAGAATTGGGGGCATGATAGTGATGGTGGTGTGTGTGTGGGTGGGGGGCAGGAAGCATTAAAGAACTAGAGGAAAGTTGTATGTTTCATCAGTGCTATACTGAACCCTGACTGGCTTGTCTCCTCCCCACAACCCTTCTGTAAGGGGGTGTCCAGTTGCCTACAGATGGGTTTGGGCTCTCCACTCCACACTCCCCCTCATTCACAATGATATAATTTTTATTTCTGGGTCTTTGATGTCTGATACCTGATCCTATCCACCTCTCATGATCACACAGGCTAGTGTGCTTCTTCCATGTGAGCTTTGTTGCTTCTCAGATAGGTGACCACTTGTTTATCTTCAAGTCTTTAAGACCTCAACAGATGCTCTAACTTTTGATAGCCAGGCACCATCAGCCTTCTGCACCACATTTGCTTATGCACCGCTTTGTCTTCAGCAATCTTGTCAGGAAGGTGAGCATCATAGAATGCCAGGTTAATAGAACAAAGTGTTCTTGTATTGAGTGGAGCCCAATGTCCATCTGCTACCTTAATATTAAACCTATAAATGTATGTATATAGATCTATTTCCCCGTTGTCTTATGTACTCATTATAAATTATTACTAAGATTAGTGATCCAAAGACTTTTAATAGAAAACTGTTTAACCATGAACATAGTTCCCAGTAAAGTAGACAACAAAATGGAAAAGGGTATTTATGTGGGTTTTCTTTTTTCATTATGAACATAGAGTATTCCATAAAATTAAATGCTAATTATGCAATTTCTTACACCAGGATTTCTATCAATGACACAAATGTTTTAAGTAAGCTACCAGGTGATATCATTGCTTATTTATTAAAAAAAAGAGACAATTTATTTCAACCCATCAAATATGAGTATTATAAGGTTGTGTTTAAGTGCTATCATTTATCTCACCTCATAACCAATACTTGTTTTGTTTTATATGTTTTACTCTACTTGAGTATAAACTTAACTTTGAATGCATATTTTTCAATCAGTAGTTCATGCACAAATTGTTCATGTCATTGGTTGTAATTCCTGCAATGTGTCAGAACTTTTTCAATTTCCTCCCTTGATTCCTTGTTCCTGTTATTCAGTTTCCCTGCCACTCTCTATCTTCTCACCTTTGGTCTTGGGCAAATGTCAAACTTTTTTTCCTGTATATTTGCTTTTCCTGGGAGCACATCCTTTGCAAATAGATTTGTTTGTTCTATAGTCCTGTCTACTTTTTGTCTGGAAGGTTGCCTCTGTGAGCGTCTTCAGTTTCAAGGTAGACATTAGTCTAGGAGCGATAGTCTGAGGGCTCTCTAGAACTTTTGTCTTTGGCTTTGGAAAGTCTGATCATGTGTATCTTGGTGACTTTCTCTAGGAGTCTTTCCTATACAGATTTTAAAAACTACTTGAGTGGATATCTTCTCTTCACTCATAAAATTAGGGAGGATTTCTGCCAATAAATTTTATTAAAGATTTGTTAATTTGTTTAATTCTCTTGTTTTGAGATTTTTATCATGTGTAAGCTATTCTTCTTGGTGATAGGTATATAGAATTATAGGATTGCTGTCCACATAACACATGTATTTTTTTTTCTTTTTTGAATGCTTTTCTATGGACTTGTCCTCTGTTTATACTGGTTCTCTATTTCATTGATTCAAGTCTATTCCTATGCTCATTTTTGAGATAGCTATTACTGAAATTGTATTTAATCATTCTAGTTGCCATGTTCACATACTTTCTAATGTTCTATTTATTTTGCCTATATATTCTTATATTATTTTCTTAAATTACTTTAGTTTTATCTCACTTTTTTTAGATTTTGGTTTTTTTCTTTCACTTCTTTCTTGATCTCCTGGGTGATCCTAAATATGGCTCTTTTGAATTCTTTTGTTAATGACATTTTAATTACACTTAATTATTATTTTACAGTAAAAAGCATTTGATTGTTATTTGGGCGGAGTTTTCATAGAAAATTGATTTTCCATCCAATAATTCACATACCTTTTGTTTTTTAACACTGGTTGCAATGAAGACTCTATGAAGTTCCTCCACCACCATTTCTCCATCAGGAAGGTTTTTCTGACCCTTTATTTGGTCACTTGCTTGACATATTTGTCCTGATTCTATGTGTGATTTGATGTTGGTTTTCTCTAAGACATTAAGGTGTTGTTGATCAATCATATACAATATACATATTTATCTTTACCTGGATATGTATATATATATATATATATACATATATATATATATATATTTGGATGGACAGGCAGGGTTGCTATCCTAGTCATTAATTTGTGAGCACTGTTATGCTTAGGACGTGTCTCAAGTTGGGTAGGGTATAAGCTGGGAGTATGAATGTGAGTCTCTTATCATGCTTGCCTAGAGTACTTTAGGGTGAATTGGATGAGTACTAAGAGCCAACTGCCTCTCTTAGTATGACAGGTTGGGTGGGGACAGCAAGAGTGTTGGGCGTGGCAGGTATTGAGGAGTCCTGTGGTCCAAACTCGGGTTTTGAGGGGTTATAGTGGTGGCAAGGGAGTGGATGGGTATTGGCTGAGCACGCAGAAGAGCAGTCATGACCACTCTGCACAGTAGGGTGTTACACAGCATATTGATGTGCACACACTCTCACAGCTACCTCACCTGGTTGGGTCAGGAAAGGAGACTGTGAATGATGGATGATCGTGTGCATGGTCTTATGGGCCCTACTTCTCTCAGAATCAGGAACACTGTTAGTGGTAGGCAAGTGTGCACATGAGCTATGGGAATTGCTAATGCATGACTAGGTCAGAGGCAGCTTTCAGGCAAGTGCATGCATGTGGCCACTGTCACTGATGACTGATGTTAGGGTTGAGGGTGAGTTACAGGTGATCACATATGCACAGCTGTATGGTTAGTGCTATTTCCCAGGCTGTTGGGAGAGGGTGAGCATCAGGTGAATAATTATATGAAACTGTACTTCTGATAATTGAATAGTCAGACCAGGCTGACTGAAGAGCGAGGGTTGTAATTTACTATCTGATAGGAATGACAAGGCAGTAGGGTACACTCTGCTCGCTCCAATCAGAATAACTCCTCTTTGGCAAGCAGACACGATTGCCCTGGAATTTCCTGTCCCACACAATCAGTAGTTGGGACTTGCTCCAAATTAAGTTCAAGAAGTGGTGGACTGCTAGTTTGGACAGTTGGGGACCCTCATTCTCTTCATCTACCATGTTGTGTGTGCTCCTCACTGCAGATGTTTAGGACTGCAGCTAGTACCATGCTGGTTCCCTCCCTAATCTGCAGATTACTATATCCTTGGAATATGTGCCCAACTTTCTATATTGTCTATCCTGAGAAAAAGATCATTATCCACTCATCTCTCTTATCTAAAATATATCCCTGTGGTTTCTCCATCTCTTATGATAATGTTATGAAGTTGCTTTCCTGCGCTTCTCATGTAGGGTCACTAAGGGATTTCTTTCAAGATGAGCAGATTGATCCAAAGCAGCTGGTGGAGCCACTGTGTTCTGTGTTAGTCTTCACTTACTTTATTCGTTCAATTATTTCTTCTAGTGGATGCGCAATTCAATTCTCTCTCCTTCCTTTTTGATCCTCTGTTCCAAGATTGTTGTCTGCAACTGTTTCACTTTGTTTCTTGGTTATTTGCTATAGAGTGATGCCTTAGTGTGTCTGACAAAGCTCCTCCTCCTTCACAATAGCTTACTAAATTCCTTATCAAACTTATAAGCATGAGCATTATGATACCTGAGGCCATAGGCTTTGAGACACAGAATTCAACAATAAAATGATCTTCAAAGTAGTGCAAAAAGGGATCAAGGATTACATTATTACAACTTATACATGGATAGATAATTTTATTGATTGAATTATTTTGATGTTGATGAGGAGTTACAGTTTCAACTATTTTTAAAGAACATATTATTTCTACATTGCAGCCACCAATGAACATACACTCTATCGTGGTAAAAGTCCAGTGCATCAATAAAAAAGTTGGCACTGTTATCTACCATGAAGTACGGATTGTGGTGAGAGACAGGAATGACAATTCACCAACGTTCAAGCATGAGAACTACTTTGCCACGGTCAACGAGGTCAGTTGCTAAGTTTGTATGCTTCTTGTTTATTTAATTAAACAGACAGTATACCTGATTTAAAATAATTGATCCATAATCATGGCCTTAACTCACGACAACTATAAGCTACTCCTAAGTTACAAATGAGATCCAAGACTCGGTGTGTTTTTAAGTAAAATTTACAGGTAAGTTGGTACAGGTGCACCCAATTCTTACTTAGCTTTACTTTTATGGGGAAAAACAAAAACTTGATGCCTGAAAAATGAGTTAAAAGTTGCATGTGCAGATTTTCATGTTTGGGTTGGTTCATTTATCTTAAAGTGAGATAATATTACATGACATTAAAGGGCAAGTTCAAATTCTCTATAAGCTGGTTTTTCTTATACCAGGCATTTACTGTACCAAGAAACGTTTAAACAAATACTATTTTAAAATAAATAGCTGTGTTACTCTGGGTACTTTAGAGAAACAAATCCACAGAAACTCATGTATAAGAGAGAGTTTTATATAAAGGTTAAGTGCACATCAAGAAAACATCCCAACCCAGTGCTGCCCAAGCCCACAAGTCCAACATTAACCCATTAACCCATATGTCCAATACCAATCTACAAAGCCCTCCTCCAACTCACAAAACACATACGATGCCGACTGCAGGAGGAAAGCCAAGCCAGCGAACATGCAAACATCTCAGTGCTGGCAGGGCTCTCCACACGGCTGCTTCAGCATCCAGGGTTGCATCTGGGTAGGTTCATGTGGCTTCTCCTCAGGGATGTCTTGCAGGAAGTCAGCCTTGCCAGCTGAAGCAGGGAACTGCTAAGGCAGCCACACCCTGGTCTGACCATCAGAAAGCAAGAGACCTGAGAACTAGAAAAGCAAGGCTCACTGAGCCATTTATCCCTCAACCCTTCAATTAACCCCATATGTGTTTATCAGCCAGGTTGGTACAATAAACTAACTAACTCAATCCACCCCTTGCCAACTTGTTACCTGTACATCATTCTTTAGCCTCAAAATTGCAATTAAATAACACCTATACCTTAATCCTATAATCTTGTGAATTTTCCCCCCACCTATGAAAGTTTGTAAGCCAACCACTTCATGCCTTTATCCCCCAATTTTGGGTATCCAATTTATATACTGCCCACTTACATCAACCCAGTTCTCTGAGAAGACAATCATATTTTTCGACATGAAGAGACTTCATTGCAGTTGGAACATTGTGAAGTCTGCATCCACAAGCAAAGCCAAATCCGGACAGGCCATCCATAAAGTCAGCAACAATATGCACCAGTTCACAGGCTCAAAAATCTCCGTCTGGTGAGGTTCTGGTCAACTCAATGTGGGCTGCCTCACTCAGCCTCCAGGGTGCCCATTGGTCGCCTTGACTTTAGACCATGGACTCTCACCAATACTCAACTAACCTAGCCCCCTCGTGCTAGGTCATGAAATTTAGACCAGTCAGCCGGCTCTTCATCTTCTGTTTTTTCTTGTATAACAGGTTCACAGGTGTCAGTGGCCAAACTCAATGCATTTCTTTATTGCTGCATTAATCCCACTTCCACTCAACAAATAGATCCTGGTGGTCACCTAGCAAGCATTTCAGCCTGCTCTCTGGCTCCCATTAACATTCAGTCCCAGAGAGGAGTTTTCTTCATGGTTCCAGACTTTTTCCAGCTTCTGACAAAGACTATTGTTTCCTGAGTACTCCAAAGCCCTGGGTGGGGCATATCCTTTCAAAACTTTCTTTGCAGGCATGGCCTAAACCCATTTAAAGATCAAATATTAATGGCTGAAAGCAAGTGGGCTCACAAATTTTCTATTTTCCTACTTCCCATATTTTCCCCAGAATACAACTGAGTAAAGTGTGGCTTTATCTGACCTCTGGCTAGACAAGAAAAAACTACCATGAGGGAGAGGTCAATCATCTACTCTCCATCTTGTGATTTGTTTTTCCAGTACCCCACTCCCAAGGTACCATATTGTGTTAGTCTGGGTACTTTAGAGAAACAAATCCACAGAAACGCATGTATAAGAGAGAGTTTTCTATAAAGGTTAAGTGCTCATCAAGAAAACATCCCAACCCAGTGATGCCCAAGCCCACAAGTCCAACATTAACTCATATGCCCGACACCAATCCACAAAGTCCTCCTCCATCTCACAAAACACACACAATGATGCTGACTGCAGGAGGTAAGCTGAGTCATTGAATGTGCAAATATCTCAGCACTGGGAGGGGTCTCCACACGAGTGCTCCAGCACCCAGGGCTGCATCAGAGTAGATCCATGTGGCTTCTTCTCAGGGATGTCTTGCAGGAAGTAAGCCTTGCCAGCTAAAGCAGGTAACTGGCTAAGACAGCTGCACCCTGGCCCAACCATCAGAAAGCAAGAGACCCGAGAACTAGAAAGGTGAGGCTCACTGAGCCATTTATCCCTCAACCCTTCAATTAACCCCACATGTGTTTATCGACCAGATTGGCACAATAAACTAACTAACTCAATAGCATCTAAAATGTGTGAGGGAATTTCAGAAATGTGTCTTTCTTAGAGGCAAAAAAGGGGGTGAGGCAGGGAGTCATTTTTACGTTGTGGTTAAAGTTGTCGAATACTAGCCAAAATGTCAGTAGTTGGAAACCACCAGTCACTGGACTAGAAAAAGCTGTGCCAGTCAGTGTCCATTGAGATTGACAGTCTGCTTTCATTGAGATGTACAGCCAGAGAATGCCTGTGTGATGATGAGCTCCATCCTATAGAGTCACTGTGTGTCAAGAATCAGGTCACAGCAGTGGGGCTGGGTTTGGGTTTGGTTCGGGGAAGGAAAAAATAAGGTGTTTTTTTTGGTTAGGTTAGAAAACCTAATTCCTGAATTCACATTCACATTTACAACAGGGCTAGTTTTTCTGGTATGAACATTTCATTGTACTTTTGATTGTCTGAGATGGGTATACTAAGTAAGAGAAAAAAGAATATATACATCTGAGACCCTAACATATCCTTTTTAAGTTTGTTTCCTCTATTTTAAGTTCTGGCACATTATAAGTATTAAATATAAATTACAACTGAATTCTTGCAAAAGACCACTTCTTTTCAGATCTAAAAATATATTTATAAAATCAATATAAATAGTTTTATAAGAAATTGTTTTTACTTATTGTTTTTATTTGTGTTGTTTTCCCTTTATGAACCAAACCATGGACAAGAACTACTATTTCTATTTCTTTAAACCTTGGCTATTCTATTGATTTGTTTTTGATAGTTTATTAAGTTAGAAAATATTTGCATGCCTCTAAACAAACTACTATGTATATTTTAGATAATATTAATGCTGTATTTCATATTTTACAAGGCCCTCTTTCCCTCCAAAATGAGCATTTAACATTTAAAAGTATATATCTTACTTTATAAGGGAAAATAATGCCTTTTGTTATTAAACAGCCTTGGAACTTTTTAAAATCTAATTATTTAAATATATATTTAATATGATCAACATTCTACTATTTAAAACAAGTGATGACATTACTTTATACAATCTGAGATTTTCCAACTTATTTGTGTATTAAAATGATAACATTGACTTCTTTTAAGTATTACAGTCCAAATTACTGGTCAATAAATGTTTTAAACTAGTTATTTTTTATAATAGATTTCTGATGGAACTGAAAGAGCTTGATTTTTCACCATTTAATTAGCTTTAAATATATAGAGATAATCTTATTTTAGCATCTACATTTTACCCTAAGAATTCAATTTTTCGTTGCATGCTAACTTCATTTGAATATATACCACAAGTCAAATTAAATAGGTTAGGAAACAAAGCTAATCATAAAATCTCTTCTTGTACCATATTTAAGTGCTCCTAGTACTTGTTTTTAATTAATTTTTCTAAACAGGATTAAACTCCATTCTGACTCCTACTGACCCAACAAGATGGAGAAAATGTCTCCTTGGATTTTTCAGGGCTATGTTTTTATGGGAGTAGGAAACCTCACCTTTTAAGGCAGAGGGATTGGTGGTTTTGAACTGTTGACTTTCTGTTTAGTAACCCAACACACAGTCCACTACACCATTTACACCAATACCTCCTATATGATTTAAGTAGCTAAATCCTCTCCTCCAATCTTTTCAATACATTGTTGTTGTTTTTCAATTCTATTTTAGTTGTGTCACCATCATGATAAGAATTGTGCAATTTTTCATTATTCCAAGGGGAAAAAGTATTCTCCATTGTTTCCCCCCAAGATTTTCCATACCCAGATCATTATTGTATGTAACCTTTACTTTAAATTCTCTATAATGAAGCCTCCTACTCTTCTGATTCGTTTCATCACATCTCATAAATTGTTCCATTTCTTGGCCTTTGCTCTTATCATTCATTTTACTTGTAATCAGATCCTGTCTAGTTTGCAAGCATCCACTTTCAACTTATTATTTAAATTTAGTTGAAAATTAGTTTCCAAGGAGGCTTTACTAACTATTCACATTAATTTGTCTTTAATTTCTCCAAACGCTAAACTCCTCACTCATTTGGACAATGTGAACTGGAGTAATACAATTTATATAAAAGTTAAATGTTTTATTTAAAACATTGGTTTAAGATGTCCATATTTTTTTCAAAGCTGTTCACAAATGATTGAAATAATATATTTATCTAACTACATTTCCCTATGCTGAACTGAGACAATCTCATCTCTCTGATATCAAAATCATAACATCTGTGTTAAAGTAAACATGTGTACTTGATCTAATTTCCCCCTCTTGAAAGTAACGATGAACATTTTATTCTTCGTATTAACCCTTACATAATTACATAATTTTAAATCCAAACTCTATTTAAACTTCAAAATAGCATCAGAAGCTGAAGGTGCATGATTGGTTCAAATAGTGTGTACTTGGTCACCAGATAATTGGCACTTTTAACTGACCTGTGGTCATCTGTTTCCATGAACATTGCCGGTGAGAAAACCCCATGGAACGGCTCTTGTCTATTACACACTAAGTATCTTAAGCCACAAAACAAAATC